AAGAAAGAAAGAAAGAAAGAAAGAAAAAGAAAGAAAGAAAGAAAGAAAGAAAGAAAGAAAGAAAGAAAGAAAGAAAGAAAAGAAAGAAAGTTCATCTGTTTTCTATCTCCAGGTGTTGAACTTACCCTTATCTGAAGTGATAAAACATCTGCTTGTGTCATGACTACATTGCAAATATGCTGTGCTGAACTTCAGCCCAAAATCTGTCTAAAGCCTCTGCCTGATTGTTCTTTCTATTTAGTGTGTACAAAAGAGAACAATGAATCTCTACTGACATTTCCTGTCTTGTTCCTGAAATGCCAGATTATGACAATTAAACCATGCAAAACACAGTTAAGGTTAAGCTATGTCATGACACTTAAAAAAAAATGTTATTAGGAATGTGTTTAGTTTAAAATTTCTCCTCTTCATTACAGTATTCTCTTATTTCATCCTCTAGTGAACCTGTAGAAAACCAATAGTCCAAAAATAGAAATCAAAGAAATAAAAAGGTGGGGATTTTTTTGGCATGGTGGGCAGAAAGATAGGTTTAAATCTGAAAATGACAAATGTATAAAGCTGTAGAATATATGTAACTGGAAAATAAATATATAATACAGATTTAAAAATGTCAGTTATGTACGTTATAATACCTAACAAAAAGCACTGCAGACACTGCAAAACTCTTTTTTTTTCTGTCACTTCTGACTGTATTGAAGCTTTTTCAGCATTTCCTTCCTTGGCTGAAACACTTTAAGTCAGTATTACAGTCACATTAATCAAAGAAAGAACTTAATATCCTTTTCATAACTGTAATAATGGCCAGTTGGTTTGCATTAGTTTAAGTTTTCTTCATAGAACATTAACATTGATTTCAATTGATATAAAGATTTTAAAAAAGTCTCAAAAATATTTCAACTAAAACATTTGCTCAGGATTACTAGGATTCTTGGTTCTGTGGTATGTGAGGCTTCTAGAATTCCCAGTTTCTCAGGGGTATTTTGTGATTTCCAAAGATATTTTCATCGTGCACTTAAGATTTAGATCACATTAATTTCAGAAAGGCACATTGCAAATTGCATAAACAAAAGATGAGTCTTCATAAAACATATCCACCAGTTTTATTTTTCTTATTTACAACAGTAGAAAAAATCCATGTAGAAGATTTTGAAGTGCAGCAAGTTGCAAGTAGTTGGTAAATAAGAGAGGAAAATCTTATGGTACTCTGTATATGTGCCCACATTCTACTTATCTTTATAACCCTGCAGGACACCCAAGCTGTCCTTCTCACAACTCTTTAAGTATGTTTCTAGGGGTAATGCATGGATGATGAAGATAAGACCAGAGTGAGAAATGTTACAAGAACTTTGATTGCCATCTGCTACCTTTTCACAATCTTTATTAATTCATGGAGTGAGGGCAGGGGCAAAATTTAATTTTGTTTATTTTGCAAATTTAGACAAAACATATATTGCTTCTTAGGAACTAGTGCTGCAGAATAGTGTAAGGGATTTTGGAGAGCCATGTTAATGTTGTTTATGCTCTTGTCCCAATAACTAATAAGAAGAGTATGTTCCCAATCCTATGTTTATCATTGCTTACTAAGAGTATCTCTAGTAAGCTGGTTTGATAAATGTATATAAATGTACAAGTGGTCTTATTGAAGCTATTCTGCATCACATTAATTATTTTAATTCAACATTCATTAACACTTTTCATTCGATGACCAAAGGAAGTAAAATATTTAATCTAAAGTTCATATTTTGGTAGAACATCATATTTATTAATTGTACATTTGCTAAATTTATTCTTCATTATCAAAATATAAAGAAAATCAAGCAACTATATTTAAAGACACAACTTGACAAGAGCATTATGAAAATGGAATGTAAATTACTAACCTAATGTACAAGAGTTAATTTGAATTCATGCCACTCCCATGCTGAAAATATGGAGAAATATTTGTAGCGAAATTACACAAAGTTAGTAAATAGATAATGGGTTTCCCTTGAATTGCAAGAAGTCAACCAGTCAGTTGAAAAACATTTTATTGAGTGTCCTTTACATCTTCATTCACTTCAAAAATGTATTTTTCAAGGGCAATTACTTTTTTCTTCATTACATATGAACTGTGAATACTCTATGAGCTTTTTATAGTGTTATCAATTCCTTGGTGTGTGCCTTGTTCAATCTGTACTGATTTTGATGGATATTCATAAAATCAGTTAGCCCTATTCCCTTCCCTTCCCGAAGGTCAACAGCAGCTTTGGTTGTTTGTTTTTTTTTTTTTGGTCTTGATTTTGTTCATTGGAAAGAATTGCACATAAATGAATAGCAATTTTCAGCCTAAAAATACAAATAAAAACAAAAATGTTCAAAGTACTTCATAGCTCCAAGGAAAGGAAGACCAGCATATGAGAACATTATTAGATTTGAATAGAAGCCAGATCTCTTCTCACATGGTTTTATTATCTAATTATACCACCATCATTAAAACACAAGTCTTAATATATGGGGAAAAAATAAAATACGATTTACTGTACACAAGTGATCTTAAGATGTTAGTGATGGAACTTCATACCATATTGAAATAACATGCAACTGCTTCTTTTAGACATAGCATTATACATTATCTTTCATTTCTTTACTTCTAGGGTCTGAGGTGGTTGGCTTTGATGGGAAAAGTTGTCTAATTTACACATTAAATAAAAAACTCATTAATGCACTGAAAGATGTGATTTCTCTGAAGTTTAAGACAATGCAAAGTGATGGAATTCTCCTCCACAGAGAAGGACAAAATGGAGACCACATCACCATGGAATTAACTAAAGGGAAGCTGTCCCTACTCATTAATTTAGGTAACAGCTATAGTCTCATAAAGTCTAATATAGTTACTAGGCATTTCTTGACTAAAACTTCTCTTAAACTGTTAAGTGGATTTTAATGCATAAAGAATGATAAACAAGCAGTATATTTTTTAATAATTATATTTTTGAATGAAATTAATAGTTTTTATTTTTCTTCTTTCAAGGTGATACTAAAACTCATCCTTCTAATGCCCAAATTAATATTACGCTGGGCAGCCTTTTGGATGATCAACACTGGCATTCTGTTGTCATTGAGCATTTTAACAATCAAGTAAACTTTACAGTGGATAAACACACTCATCACTTTCATGGCAAAGGAGAATTCAGTTATTTGGACCTTGATTATGAGGTGTGAAAATTATCTTTCCTTTATTACATTTATTACCTTTATTATTCAAATGCACAGAAACAGGCAAAGGAAACAGAACTTAAGGAAGTTTGTAGTCCTCAATACCTTGGGGATTTCCTGTCTGTTAAGGGAATGAATCAGTATAAAAAATGTTCTTATAGAGTACAAATCTTCCACTAGACTCAACTCAGTATTTTCAAAAGATCATCTTTTTCATCTCAGAATTCATTATTTTAATATGTTTGTTTTAGTAGAGCTGCAAATGTGATAAACAATATTGTAAATATAATGAATGATAAAGACCCAACTCAATGCTACTTTTAATGAATATTAGTATTATGAATATAAAACGAAAATTGCAATGTCAGCATAAAAACCTTTGTAGAAATATTTATATCAAGACTTAAATCCCTGTTAGAGCTGAAAATTTTACTGTGAAAAAATCTTTCTTGCACAAATAATAGATTAATGAAAAGTAGTAGATGTAATATGCTGTGAAATTTTCCTGCCTGTGATCAAAAATACCACTATTTCACAGTTGTAATGCAATGACTGGCTGCTTTATGGTTGCCCTGTACTGTTTGTTGGATAAGACAATGAGTGATAGAGCAGAATGTCAGGAACCTGCAGACTTTATTGCACTCATTCCAACTTTTAAGCATTTTAGAGTGAGATGTCATGCAGTTCTGGGACTGCATTATTCCATTTCAGAAATATCTGCTCAGAATTTCTGAATGTAAATCATAATATCAAAGTTTGGAGGATCATACTAATTAAAGAAAAAAAAAAGGAAGAGGGAAAATAAATGGTTGACAATTTGTTTTAAAACTAATTTAAAAATTAAAAGGTTAAAAGTTTAGACTGACCTTTTTTACAATGTTGTCTAGAATAGCTTTGAAATATGTGAGCTCAAATGTTCATTTCTACTGGAATCCTATTTCTGATAGTGTGAAAGAGTTAAAATATAGACTAGAGCAGAACTAAGGTCACCCTTGTGGCAATGCTTTTCTGAAATAATTTACTACTTTCTAGCAGCTTTTACCTTAGAGCAGGGATGCATTTAGAAAGAATGATATTCTTGAATTTAGTAGCTCTCAATGGGTTTTTATTTTTGTTAAATCTTCCAATCTCTTTCTGAAACTAAGTACTTTTACAGCACCATACAAAGGAACTGCGCAGCCTAAGCATTTTGAAAGGGAAAATGTGACTCCTTCAGTTTGTTTCAAATCTGTGCTAGAATATCATTTGATGCAATCTTGTTTTCTATTATAGTAGTTATGGTGTGCACAGAGTGGAGAAGTTAGGCTCAAGATTCTAAAGAAATTGTTGCTAATTGACATCTCCCTTTTTACACTGTTCCGCATAGTCTCCTTGTACTTGGCCTTGTCCTTCTTCTGCTTGGTGTCACAGCTGTAATGGACCCGGAAAACTGATTCAAGACACAGATACTTATCAGAAGAAGATAAAAAAAGCCAAAATGTCAGAATGATTTACTACATACATTTGACTTAATGTAGCCTAATTTTTTGTTAGCCTATTCTTTTAATTATGTAGACATGATACAGTGAAATACACAAGTTGCAAATTCATTATAGGCCAGTCTTTGACTTCTTCTCTTACAGTATAATCAACTTCTCTCCTTAGAAAATTACTTAATAGTATTATTGATTTCTCTTCTCTTTCTAAGCTCAGCTTTGGAGGGATCCCAATGCCTGGAAAATCAGGGACATTATCACGCAGGAACTTTCATGGGTGTTTTGAAAATATTTATTATAATGGAGTGAACATTATTGACCTGGCCAGGAGGCATAAATCTCAGATCTACATTGTGGTAAGAGATTTATAGTTAAGAAAGAACAAATAATTAAAACAGAGAAAAAGATCACAATCACTTTCAAATCCAACCTGTTAGCACACAGTTCTAGTAAAATCTATGTTAGGCAATGAAAGAAAAATAAAGTAATTTTCAAGATGGGCTACTTTTCATTTTATGCTGAGTAGACTCATCCTAGTAGAAAAGGCAGGATGAATTTTATTTTTGAGGTCTTTAGCTGATATTTAGATAATGTCTGATATCACAATGTTGTGTGCTATCTGGGTGACAAAAGTCAATGAATAACAAGATGCATCAGAAACCATCAAGTCTTTGGCTATATAGCAAAGTATATGTGCCTGACTAATAAGAGCAGCAGCAGTATGTTTTAAAATTTCTTTATTGTTGAGAACACTGATCCACTTTGTCCAGAGCAGTATAATTTTGATAGATCAGTTCTGTTTTTCAATTTGTATTGATTTTTTTCTGAAGGCCTTTTAGTTTAGGTTGGTGGGTTTAATGTATTTTATTGTGACATGGCCAGGAGTCATATTATCCAAATTCTTACCTTTTATAGAAACAATTCCAAGAACAAAACAAATGCCTTCTGTGTTATAAAAGGCTTTCTAGACATTTTACTGAGTCCTTTGCTGTTGGTTTTGTTTGGTTTTTTTCCCTAGTACAGCAAGAGTCATCTCTGTTTGCAACATGTACTTATTTAGCAGCAGGAAATGCAGAGGTGTCATAGAAATCAGCTCAGATTAATTAAAAATATATCAAATGCTTTCATGATCCAAATATTTTAACCTGGATTTCTTTTCAGAATACAAAGAATCAAATTTGGTCCCTATCATAGAAGAAATTTGTCACTGTCATAGAAGAAATGGATGAGAGGCATTGCTTCTCATATGAAATTCACTTGAAATATTCTAAAGTTATCTAAGCTTATACCTCTGCATGATGCTTATGAATACTGGGGAATGGGCAATTATAGTAGGCTCTGGGTGGACTAGTGGAAGGCATCTATGAATTTATCTGTAATAGAAAATTTCATTACTTTCATGTCAAATGTTTTAAATTCTTCTGCTACTTTCAGAACTATTTAGGAGATGCTTCATAATTTAAATATTATAGAAAGAATCTCTGTTACCACAGAATCCCTGTTAAACAGGCACTTTACTGGGTAAATCTGCAAACAGCCAGCTTTTAGCATTTAACGAGGTTTATTAATCTGATGAGTACCTTTTTACTCTGTGTCAGTTTAGCTGACTATTTATTTCTGTACAGCTGAGTTCATAAGACAAAGCTTTTACCTATTTATCTATTTTCCTTGAAGAAAATGAAAACCCATAAACTTTAATAGTTTGCCACATCAGGGACTAGTGAATATTTTTCTTAAATTTATTTTAAAGCTACTTAATGTGTGGTCAAAGTTTTATATAGGCTCAAAAGTTTAAAACCTCTTGCTGTTGAACAGCAATTAGGTGCACTTTAAATTCCAAACACCTTAATCTTTAGTAATCCTTTTTCCAGAACAAATTAGTTATAGTTCAAATGGTGTCAGCAAGTCATTAGACCAGAGTGCACAGTGTACTACTATTAAGTACTGTAAAGTGTTAGCTAATTCTGACACCAGATGCAAAAAATGCATTATTCCTGTTCCAGATTCCTTATCTGCATCACTAAGTACAAGTACAGATGCAGGCTACTCTCAGAGTTTCTCAATTAATTAAAGCACAAGTTTACCTAAGAAATAGTTATTTCAGAAGAAGGTAAACACAAAATAAATGCTAGGTGCACAAATCCAACTCATAATCTCGTCCATATGGGCCTGCTTGAAAACACATTCACTCTTAGGTTAAAAAGTATGTACTGTACATTTGTAAGTAGTAAGAGTTTATATGTGGAATTTCTCTGTAAAAACAAATACTGGATTTCGTGCACATTTCAAATTGCATTAATTTGGATTTTTTTCTTAAATTTAACACCATCTTAAACAATCAGTGCTGGCTCAACATTCTTCTCTGCATCCAAGCATTTAGACCCATGCAAGTGTTTACATGCAGTCAGCAGCATGGCATCTATTTGTCATTGAAGAATTTGTGAAGTCCCTAATGCTTACTGAGGCTGAGCCAAACTAGGAACAAAACAGATCTTTCTAACTCCTGAAGTAGCATTCAATCAGCCTCATAATTTAGGATCTTAAGTCATTCCCTCAAAGGTCCTTGCCATGCTGCACAGGCAGATGAGTCTAGTCTGGTCAGACAACTATGTTCATGTTTAGTTTTTGACTAATACATTTCAAGTACTATGTACCATGCTTTGAAACTCTGCAGTTCCCATGAAGAAATTCTCATTACTCTTCCTAATACCATATTTGTTTTATTTATTTCTAGGGCAATATGTCCTTCTCATGTTTAGAGCCACAGGTGGTTCCTGTTACATTTCTGAGCTCCAGCAGTTTCCTGGCACTGCAAGGCACATCAGGGCAAGATGAAGTATTTGTCAGTTTTGAGTTTCGCACTTGGAACAAGGAAGGACTTCTATTATCCAGTAAACTGCACCAGTCTTCTGGTGGTTTCCTCTTATATCTGAGTGATGGGAGAGTCAAAATCAATCTTCATAAAACAGGAAGAGTACTGAGTGACATCGCTACAGGTAAAAGAAATGAAGAAAAAAAATTACAATACTCTTATGAATAAAAGAAAAAAATTAAAGTCATTTATTTAGTACTTGCTTTTTTGACTTATTTTTATGATTATTTTGTGTACAACTGTGCTTGTGGGAATTTTACACCCAATTATTTTTAAATGCTTTCTTTTCTCACAAACATACCTATTATTTTCTTTCCCGATGAATGAGCAGCAATTACTTTCAGTAATATAGATTGAAAAATGGAATCCTTAGCTTAACATGCATACACTGTGTACAGCTCATGTGTATAACCTGGAAAATCTAAGCAACTTTCTCAGTTGTGAAGTGTAAGAAATTTAGTCTCTTACTCTGTCAAGCTAAGTAATTTAGATGTTTCTTGCCATTGTTCTGTGCTTTCAAGAAGTATCAAGTGACTAAATTTTTTTATAAAGTTATACATCTCTATAAAATATAATGTCTGTTATTTTTAGAATTATCAATCACAGATATCCATTAATCTGGGACAGTGGATGCCTAATACCAGATTGTGTTTCAGAAAACCAGGACAAGTTTGAGTCTATGATTAAAAAAAAAGGGAACGAGGAAAATGAATACCTGAGAGCTAAAGGGTCACTTTTGTAGTTAAACGCTAAATCGAGACTAAATCATCTACTTTTGGTAGTGCACTGCTAGGCATCCCTCAGGGTAAAACAGATTTTCAGAAAGTTAGTAGCTAGTCTATTCTTCTGATGACTAATTGCACCTTTGGCAAACAAACATGTCAAGACAAAAGGATGAAGATACTATAGTGATACACAGTCATGTTAGAGAGTATTCAGTTGGGATTCTAAGCAAATTCCTCCTTTAACTTTCTCTCTGCCTGGCAGGAATGGGACTAAGTCTTTCACAAAGAGTCTCCTCAGTTTTTCTGAGCACTGCTGGCAGTTGATATGGGAAAAACTAGACTGCTAGCCCAGTCAGGAATCTCCATCTTTCAGGAAATATGACATCAGGACAGAAAAACATCATCTCCACCATCAAAGGCTTTTTATAAAATGCTGAGATCCAGTAACTACCCCATGTAATAATATCATCACCTTCACCTAACAGCTTTTCATCAGTATTGTACTATTCTCTGACATTCCATGTATCACAGCAACCTTAGAGCTTCTCATTTTTAATGCAAACAAATTGAATTTTGCCCTTTACTTGTAGATGGATTATATGATGTGATATGGTGAGTCCTAAGACAGGAAAAAAGACAATAGAGATTAAATGGTTAAAGGGGATCACAAGAAATGTATCATAGGATGGAAACCGAGTCTGGGGTTGGAGTAGTTTCTGTATGGACAAAGATGACCAGAATCCACTAGTGGGAGGAATATATTGTAGAAGCAATGGTGAATTTGGATGCAGAAAACACATATATGAGATCCAAAACATCACTTGATCTTTGATTCATTTTGACCCATACAGAAGCATGTATTTTCCATTTCATAATCACAAAGCAGAATATTATCAGTGTAAAAGAAACCAGGTTAGTTCCAGTTATGTAATAAAAAACAAGTGATAAACCCCCAAACTAGTTGTAATTAGTATAAAGACAAAATAAGAATAAACTGATCTAAATTATTCTCAAAATTTATTAGGCAGTATAATGCAAAGGGAGCAAAGTAGAACAAAGCAGGACAAGAAACAGCCACAGGATTTGAACATGAGGTCTCTTTAATCTTTGCTCCATGCCGCTGTTTCTTTGATTGAATCCTTACTTTAATCCTCTTCATAAATGAAAATTCCTTCCCTTTCTTGAGGAAGAAGGGAAGGGGAAGGGAAAGGGGAAGGGGAAGGGGAAGGGGAAGGGGAAGGGGAAGGGAGAAACTGTGAAGTTCATTATGCTTCTACAGATATATAATGATTACAAGTAAAATTTCAAAATGTTGATTATTTTAACTCAGGAAAAGACTATAAGCCTGTAATGACCACAGATGATGCTGAAATGTACATAAATACTTTCATCCGGTTCCTGTGAATGATAATAGGAACGGCTCTGGTATTTTTTATTTTCTAAAATAACTGATGCACAAAGAGTACCACTTTAATGACAAGAAATTTCCCTAGGCTTACCATTTGAAAATGTCAATTTCTTAGTAAGAATGTCAGTGGTACGTAGTTAACAGTGATGAATTTGGCTTTTTAGGAGCTATTTAAATAGCCGTTCAATTAGGTGATATATGTTAAAGAAACTGTTGCCATGCACTGTCATTTTAACAGACTGGCTGATGATGGTGGCACTTTTAACAGCAGTAGGTAGACTTACACATGGGGCAATTTATTCAATTTCAAAGCTGCAATGCAATACATAAGATATTAGTGTAAACATCCCAAAATAAATCTTGACATTCTATGCTGAAACAGAATTTAATGTTCTCATGCTAGGTTAAGCTTTCTGTTCATAAAGTATAACAGGAGGAATTGTGTTTGTCTTTGTGAAGGCAAAAGCTACAGCAAAATCATCTTATTCTCTTCTGAGAAGGAATTTATCTAACAAAACCATATGGGAAAGTTTCTCTTGAGTTTTTGAAGTGTTTGTTGTAGAAATCACTGAAGCAATTCAAGTGTGCATTTGGAGGTTGAGTAATTAAATTATGGATGGTTGGGCTGAAGATTTGCTCCCCTACAGGCAAGGACTTATGACCTGACTTTCACACGCATAAACACACACCCACACACCCACCCACCCACACACACACACACCCACACACACACACACACACACACACACACACACACACACACGTAATATTTGATAATTAAATCGGAGCGTATTTCTTTGTGCACAAGTTTAAGTTAATTATGCTATGTTTTTTTAAGAATTTCTTTAACCATATGAAACTGAGGAGAATGTTATATCATTTCATAACTAATTCAGTTATAGTGAATTATTTCTTTTGCAGAATGGCTGCTTAATGTGTTTCATTTGTAGCCTCTTTTGCAAGTGGTACATCAAATACTCATAAAGAAATAACACAGATTTAAAAAAAAGAGAAATCAACACAAAGTTAATTTGTTTTGAATTATGAGACCAAATTGAATTACAATATGTGTAAATGTTAGATCTTATTACTCAATGTCTTCTTTGACCCTCTATTTCTATGCAGCTTTTAATTTCCATGCAGCATTTAGTTAAGTGATGTTAATAATAATAATAATGAGATTTCATTGTTATACTTCAGACTAGTCTATAAATTACTTCCTCTAAACTTTTTTTGTTTCTCACTGATCTTCTAATAATTTATATACACTGCATTTTATACATGTGTTCCTGAGGTCAGGTATCATTGTTCTGCAAGGGGCTGGTAAGGGGGTGCCAGGGAGCAGAATGGTCCTCTTGCTATCCAAGAGGAGGCAGTTAGAGAACTACTGGGACACTTGGATATTTATAAATCAATGGGATCAGATCAAATCCACCCTAGGATGATGAGGGAGCTGGCAGATGAGCTTGCGAAGCCGCTCTCCATCATTTATCAGGAGTCGTGGCTCACTGGTGAGGTCCTGGACAATTGGAAACTGGCCAATGTGACACCCATTTACAAAAAAGGTAGGAAGTAGGATCCTGGTAATTACAGACCAGTTAGCCTGACCTCAGTACCAGGTAAGATAATGGAACAGTTCATACTTAGTGCTATCACACAGCACTTACAAGATGGCCAGGCTATCAGACCCAGTCAGCATGGGTTCTAAAGGGTAGGTCATGTCTGACCAACCTGGTCTCCTTCTATGACCAGATGACTCTTCTGGTAGATGCAGGAAAGGCTGTGGATGTTGTCTATTTAGACTTCAGCAAGGCCTTTGATACTGTTTCCCCTAGCATACTCCTGGAAAAGCTGGCAGCCCATGGCTTGGATGGGAGCACCCTTCACTAGGTTAGGAACTGGCTGGACGGCTGGCCCAGAGAGTGCTGGTGAGCAGTGCTGCATCCAGCTGGGGCCAGGCACCAGTGGTGTCCCTCAGGGCTCTGTGCTGGGACCAGTTCTATTTAATATTTTTATAGATGACATGGATGAGGGCATTGAATCCTTCATTAGTAAAATTGCAGATGATACTAAGCTTGGGAGCTTGTGTTGATCTGTTGGAAGGAAGGAGGGCTCTGCAAAGAGATTTGGATTGATTGGACAGATGAGCAGAGTCCAACAGCATGAAATTGAATAAGTCTAAGTGCTGAGTTCTGCATTTTGGACACAAAAATCCCCTACAGCATTACAGGTTTGGGACAGTATGGCTGGACAGTGTCCAGGCAGAAAGGGACCTGGGGGTGCTGGTCGACAGCTGGTTGGACATGAGCCAGCAACGTGCCTTAGTGGCCAAGAAGGCCAATGGCATCCTGGCCTGCAGTAGGAATTGTGTGACCAGCAGGAGTAGGGAGGTTATTCTTCCCCTATACTCGGCACTGGTGAGATCACATCTTGAGTTCTGTGTCCAGTTCTGGGCCCCTCAGTTCAGGAAGGACATAGAGATACTTGAGCGTGTCCAGAGGAGGGCAGCGAGGCTGGTGAGGGGCTTGGAACACAAGCCCTATGAGGAATGTTTGAAGGAGCTGGGGTTGTTTAGCCTGGAGAAGAGGAGGCTTAGGGTGACCTTATTGCTCTCTACAGCTTCCTGAAGGGAGGCTGTAGACAGGTGGGGGTCAATCTCTTCCACTGGACAGCAACTGGCAGAACAAGAGGACACAGTCTCAAGCTACATCAGGGAAGGTTTAGGTTGGATATTAGGAAAAAAATTTTCACTGAAAGAATAATAAAATACTGGAATTGTCTTCCTAGGGAGGTGGTTGAATCACCATCTCTGGATATGTTTAAAAAAAGACTGGATTTGGCACTTGGTGCTATAGTCTAATTGTGGTGTTAGGGCACAGGTTGGACTTGATGATCTTAGAGGTCTCTTCCAACCTCATTATTCTGTGATTCTGTGATTCTGTGATCCCATAGACCCTATTCTAATACTTAGATTTAAAATAATGGAACTATAAATATGTCCATTTAAAATAATAATGTACATTTATGTGAATAAATGGACATCTTGTTTAACAGCTACCTTATTATGTACTAAAAAAATTAATTGCTTTGATTTTCCTGTTTGTTTGTGGTTAAGTATTTTTCTAACTCACAGTAGAGCAGCAGACAATATAAGTTTCAGATGGAATGTAAATGTTGGTAGTCCACTGGCCTCTTCCACTTAGATGTTTTGCCACTCAGTGGTTCTACAGAAGCAAATGGGAATTTAGTCAAGGTTCTCAATTCAAGGGCTAAAATGAACAGTTTTCTTCAGAGGGTCTTGTGCTCCCACAATGGCATTGCTTAGTTCTCAGACTTAATAAAAGGGATTTCAAGAAAGTCTTAACTTCAGCTACACGGACATTGTTGAGTATCTCTAATCATGCTAACCACTAAGAAGGGGAGATAAAATATCCATTCCAAAATCATACAGTAGATCAGCAAGGTGAATTACAATCAACAAACCAAAAAATGTAAAATCCATATTATTAATTTTCTAGTAACCAAAACTTCTGATGATCTGAAATACCACTCTTTATATGTTAGAACAGTCTCTTACCTACCTTCACAGTCAAATATTGCAAGGTTTGGAATATGGTTTACTCACCAGAACAACAAGCTATGGAAGCAGGATGCACAACTAAGAATTAAAAGCAGTTATCCTTGTAACAATTAAAATAAAGTGATAGAGTTTTTTGCTAGATTTAATATTTTCAGTAATAACATAGGTAGTGAGATCAAGTGTATCCCCAGCAAGTTTGCTGATGACACCCACCTGAGAGGTGCTCTAGGGAATGAATGCAACCCTTGGTAGATTTGAAGATGGAGGGTGCTTGATAGACTTGAAGAATGGATACATGTGAATCTCATGAAGCTCAGCAAAGCTAAATTCAAATTCCTTTACCTAGATTTGAGTACTCCCCAATATCAGTACAGGCTGGGTGAGGAAGGGATTAAGAGCGGACCTGTCAAGAAGAACTTGGGGGATCACATAGATGAGACCCCACCTCAAGAATTCCTTCAAGCTCTAAGGTCCCCAGCACAAGAAAAACATGGTCCTGCTAGAGAGAGAGTGGAGCAGGGACGTGAAAATTATCAGAGGGCTGGAGCACATCTCCATGAAGA